GGTAACTCTGGCCCTCCCCTTCCCAGCAGCTGGGGAGACAGCCAGATCTCCTGACCTCCAGAGATGGAGGGGTGGTGAGCCACATTGAGCAGGTGGCATAGGCCCCTAGTTGTTTATAAAGTGTGTTGGGATTCTATAATGAAATCAGCTATGTACAATGTTTAACTACAAAGTATAATATGTATAGCTCACAGGTGTCCGATTTTGTGTTAGCTGGCTAGCTAGCCAGCAGCAGATTATTTTGGGAGATAATCTACAGTTGTAAATGAAGAAAAAGAAAGTAATCCTTGACACTAATCCTTCCAAGCAATAGGCTCAAAGCTCATATTAGAGCCACTACTTCTACTCTTCCTGGTGTTCCTTCCCCCACCCTCTGCAGACTGTCACTCTCATATTCTCTACTCCACTCTGTAACTGGGCAGAGATTTTTTTTTTTTGGCTGCATTAGATAGGCACAGATGGTATCGGGATCGTGCTTTGGAAATGAACACTTGCTTGTAAATCCTGGAGTTTTTGTTGTTATTCCCACACCACCACAGCTCTTTTAACAGTCTGTGCAGTGGAAGAGAAGGAAGAAGTGAGAGACAGTGAGTTCTTGGTGTTTCTAATATTAGCCAACCTCACTTTCTCCTTTTACTATGAGGTAATTTTCAGAGTCGTGGTAGCTTTCTCGACTAGTTCATAGACTATAACATGAGAATAGAAAAGAGAATATTGAGAGGGCACATGATAGCAGTTTTCAAGTATCTAAAAGGGTGTCGCAAGGAGGAGGGAGAAAAATTGTTCTCTTTGGCTTCTGATGATAGGACAAGAAGCAATGGGCTTAAATTGCAGCAAGGGAGGTTTAGGTTGGACATTAGAAAAAATTTTTAGCTCAGGATGGTTAAACACAGGAACATATTGCATAGGGTTTGTCTACACTGCAAAGTTAATTCGAAATAACAGCCGTTATTTTGAATTAACTTTAATAGTATCTATACATGCAAACTGCTATTTCGAATTTAATTCGAAATAGCAGAGCCCTTAATTCGAATTTGGTAAACCTCATTCTATGAGGAATAATGCCAAATTCAAAATAGCTATTTCAAATTAAGTGCTGTGTAGACACTTAATTCAAAATAGGGGGCCTCCAGCTCTTCCCAGGGAGCCCTGGTGGCCACTCTGGGCACAACCAGGAAAACTTACTCTCCTCTTCCCTAGCCCCGGAGCCATTAAAGGGGTAGACCCTGGCCACAGTGCCTGTGCCAGCTCCAAGCCTGCCATCCCAGAGCCAGCAGTGGCCACTGGGGCCCCTGACAGGGCAACAAAACTAACTAGGGGGCTGAAGCACATGACTTATGAGGAGCGGCTGAAGGATTTGGGCTTGTATAGTCTGCAGAAGAGAAGAGTGAGGGGGGAATTGATAGCAGCCATCAACTTCCTGAAAGGGGTTCTAAAGAGGATGGAGAGAGACTGTTCTCCGTAGTGGCAGATGGCAGGATAAGGAGCAATGGACTCAAGTTGCAGTGGAGGAGGTCTAGATTGGATA